TCTTACAAAATAACAAAAACATTTGAACTTATTTTAAGAAAGTACTATAATAAATTATTGAATTATGTTTATTATAAAATTTTAGGTAAAAACGTATTTGTGTACATGAAAATACGCATGACCAACAATCTGCTACAGTACCGTGAATAGTAATTGCTACAATAACCTGCTACAGTACCGATTACACAAATTTTCCAGAATGCAAATAGGGAATCGGTACCCTGCTACAAGGAATCGATTCCCCTGCTACAGTACTTCCGTAAAACGTACAAAAAACTTGTAAAAATTTAACCATTCATTACTATACATTTACATTTGCATAAATATGTTCAAAATATTAGAAAAGTCGATCAGAGCGTTAGTACTAACAACTTATTATATTTCTTACATACCAACATATTATACACAATCAAAATACATACTTTAGTAATTACTTCTGATATGATCTTCTAACAGTGTTGTTGTTTTTGCCACTTCTATTTCTGCTAATCTTGGTTCTTCGTACCTACGTGTAAATCGCTTACACGCTAAGTCATAGACTTAGTGAGGCATAATAATAGTAACAATGATGCTATAATAAAATAAAACGTAACGAAAACATCTATGCAATCAATGTAAGCTACATAACAATGTACCTTACTAATAATCTTCTCAATTTAATCATCATAAATTCATATAATAAATTCCGTAAGTTCAATAAATTCAATAGCCCATGATACAATACTGAGAACCCGAGGTATGTGAGTATTGTGAGGTTGTGCACTATGCTGTCACCACAGCTCATATAAATTTGCACCGAAGTGCCACATAGAATTTGTCCCAAAGGACCCGCGTAGAGATGCACTGAAGTGCCACGTAGAATTGCACCGTAGTGCCATATAATATGTCCCTAAGGACCACATATAAATTCCTTAAGAATCATATACATATACCAAGGATCAAGTACATGTCTCAAAAGACATCATACATGCTCCAAAGAATACATATACGTCACGAAGGACCACGTAGAATTTTTGTCCCGAAAGACTGCGTAGACCCTCTACTCTTGGCATGCCAACTATATCTATAGTTCTCATCTACATAACATGGGCTTTTACATTTCACTTAGTTTATATCGCGTAGACATGTAACTTCTTACCTTTATCACATAGCTCATATCATCTTTTCATGTAATCATATAACTCCATGTTGCATAATTGTTTTCACATTTTCTTGTAATACATAAATAAGGTAAAACAATGCATATAACACACATAACATATGATCATAGTAATGTACACTTAGAAGTCATATTATTATTCATGTATCAAGATATAAAATCTAGACTTATCACAAGTCTAGACCTGAATGTATTTCTATAATCATGATATGAATATGCACTCACCTAAATCTCTTTGCCTTTCCCTCGATCGATCTTACTCGTCCCTTGTTCCGGAACTCGTTTAGGCTCGATATCTACATGAACATAATTTTCGAGACAATTATCAAAATCCTAAACCTTGCAATTAACCTCTAACAGCTTAAACAAATTTAATGAACTAAATCTCAACTTTTCCTTTAGGGGGAATCGATTCCCCCCCAGGGGTATCGGTTCCCTCTGCAAAATCTGTAAATTTTACTGTTCAAGCCCCGAAAATCATCAACCATTCACTAAATTTTCTCATACAAAGTTCATTTCATACTACCAAACTTAACTACAACCATTTTAACTAACTTCTATCATTTCAACACTTTATTATTTCCAATATTTCATTCAAATTCTTAAAACCAATAATCATACCCAAATTCCAAACATGTTATTAATCAATTATAACACTCTATATTCCTTAATTAACCTCTTGACAAGTCAAAAATCTTATTCAAACTTCAAAAACTCATCCATATCAAAATTTCATCTAAAAACCCATTTTTCAAATCTATCTCTAAAACATTTATCTTGTTGTTTTAATGTCATATAAGCTTTCCTTTAGCTTATATAACATCCAAACTTCAATTTCCAAGCTAAAAATCAAAGAAACGACCAATGTTTGGATTCTTACCTTGAGCTTGGGTTTCACGTTGAAGAGGAAGAAGATGAAGAGAAAAGAGGAATGAGTAATCTGGAACTTATCTCTTCAATTCATTCACATGGGCCCACAATTTATTATTTTATTATTTTATTTGCTCAATGACCCTTTTACCCTCTTACTTCTTCTTCACTTATTAATCAATCCTACACCAACATCTTTCAATTAATTCCTTCACTTTTCAATTTATTTAGTTTGGTCATTAAATTAAAAATCTTACACTTAAATCACTGACCCGGTATTGAGGATGTTACATTCTTGTTATTAAGACAACTTATAATCAATTAAGTATCAGTTTTAGATGTTGTGAGATGTTAATTTTTCCCCATGTGTGAGCAATTAGGTATAAATTTAGGTGTTTGATAGTATCTAACCCCAAATGATCAGTTGTTTCATTTTTTTAAAAAAATATATGCACATTTTAAAAATCAAGTAGAATAATAATAATAAGCCATCACGGTCGAACCGTTTAACCTGAAAACACTCACAATAATTTGACTATTCCATTGAGATTTTTTAAGGAGTCAAGCCACAAGTTATTACATATTTTCTTAAGAATTAGAAATTACGAGTCCAGATTTAAATTTAATTTATGTTCTCTCTTTTCTTTCTTCAAATAATATTTTTTTAAGCTTTATTCTTATTTTTTAGGGAGTCGAGCGACGTGAGAAAATTATCCACGAAATCAAAACGTGTATCCAAATCAATTCGAAGGTCCAAAGCAGAAAAAATCAACATGATAACAAATGAGCGTCATTTTAATCAGTCGTGGCAATGTCAAATCCAACCTTGAGAAAAAAGATAAACGAAAACAACTTCAAAAAATAATTCGAGAGTCCAAAGTAGAGAAGATCAACATGATAACAAATAAGTGTCATCTTGATCAGTCGCGGGGATGTCAAATCTAACCCTGAGAAAAAAGATAAACGAAAACAATGACAAAAAAGCGTAAACTATCAAAAGACATAAAAAAAACGTGCTATAAAGGTGAAGAACATGTCACAAACACATAATTATTCTTATTAAAAAACTAAAAAAAAACAAAGAAAAAGGATAACTGGCAGGCGACAACTAGCATTAAAATCAGTGCCGTCACCGGTTAAACTTGATTTAAAAATAAAACAATATCAATAGGAGAATTAAAACGACTAATTATGGATGTGAGTGAAAAAGAAACACAAAAGAAAACGTTTGTGACAAATTTTCGTTTTAATTAAAAAAGAGAATCTAAATGATAATTTTTTGTAGTGTCATGATTATGTAAGTCATTGCTTTTTATTTTGAGTTAGTCTAAACTTGATTCGAAATATATATAAAAAATATCAATAAGAGAATTGAAACGACTAGTTATGGATGCGAGTGAAAAGAAGCACAAAAAGAAATGTTCGTGATAGAGTTTTAAAGATAATTAAAAAGAGAGAATCGAAACGACTAATTTCTATTATGTTACATGACTCTGTAAGTTATTTGGTTTTTTTATTTTGGGTCGGTTTAAACTCGATTCAAAATATAAAAAATATCAATTAAAGAACTGAAAAGACCAATTATGGATGTGAGTAAAAAAGAAGCGCACACACACACAAAAATGTCCGTGACAGAGTTTTTCGAGGCAATTAAAAAAAGAATCGAAATACTAATTTTTGTTTTGTCGCATGTCATTCTCGAGTCATTCAATCTTTATTTTGTATAGGTTCAAACTGGAGTCAAAATTAGATAAATATCAATAATAGAATACTTGAAACAACTAGTTATGAGTGTAAGCGAAAAAGAAATGTTCGTGACAGGGTTTTCGAGGTAATTAAAAAAGTTAGCAAAACGGCAAATTTTTGTTATGTCGCATGACCTCTGTTTTGAAAATCGGATTGGATCGGCCGATTCAATTGGTTTAATCGGGAACCGTTGCTTAGTCCGGTTCAATCTAAACCGGTTGAATCGCTGCTATTGAACCGGCCAGAACCGCTGAACCATTCGAACCGAACCGGCTGAAAATCGGAAAAAAAAGGGAAAAACCGGGAATTTTGTTTTTAAAAAAAATTAAACCAAACAACATCGTTTGTTAAACTAGCCAAGTCGAACTCGAGTATTGCTAAGCTCGACTCGAACTTGAAAACTTTAAAAGTAAGTTCAACTCAACTCAAACTCACAAGCTAAAAATTATCAAGTTCAACTCAAACTCGAAATATAATATTGAAACTTGAACTCAAAAGGCTTGAACTCAAAAAATTTAGAAGCTCGATTGAAGCCTAAAATTCGAGCTTGATTGAAGTGAAAGATAGTTCACTCAATGCTCACCAAAAGGCTCCATGATTTTGAATGCCAAATTACCTCTATTATTTATAGAAGTAGTCGTGATGCTCTTCTATGTTTATTAGCAATGTGATATTGTTTTGTTCTCATATTTTTACTCTTTAGACTTTTGGGATGCTCTTTTATGTTTCTTAGCCATGTGAGATTGTTTTAAAAAAAAATAAACCAAACAATATCATTTTGTTATGATTTTTTAACCCTAAATTTATTTTTTAATTATAGTTATATAATTATATTTATTATTTAATATGTTTTAGCTTAAATATTATGTTGTAGTTAATTTGAATTATTTTGTTTCACTTGATTTTATAGTTTTTAACTTATATATGTTATGATTTGCTTTGAATATGACTTGTGATATAAAAAAATTTATTAAATATTTTTGGTATTTTTATTTAATTTTTAAAATAATTATGACGTCGTTCGGTTCTTCCGATCGATCGAACCGGTTCGATTGGTTGAACCAATAAACCGATAACATAATCGGTTCGCTAACCATTCCGGTTCTGAAAACCATGCGCATGACTTTGTAAGTCATTCAATATTTTTGAGCCGGTTTAAATTTGATTCAAAATATAAAAAAAAATCAATAAAATATATTTTTCTCTTGCTTGCCAGATAATGGAATGCGACAGTAATTTTTCTCTTGCTTGACAGAAACAATATCAAAATGAAGCACATTTCATGAGTATCTATCACATGCCATATATCTGTATATATTTGCAGGAAAAACTTTTACATTGTTCTTGAATAAACTGTTACTTGCTTGGCTTTCAAGGTTTCAACTAATTGCCTTGAAGCACAAGTCTACGAAGGAAAGTGTGAACTTGGCTTGTAAATTCGGAAGGAGTCGTTTAGTTTCAACCAGTGAAGAATCTTTTCCATGACTGCCATGGAAGAAATCCACCTGTCAGCAAGTGATTGGGTAAGGCACAAAACCGATACAGTCAAGAAACCATGGAATAGTCAGCATAATTAATTGACAAGGCATACCACATTCAGGGCATTTAAAATAATCCTTGCCTCTGAAAACAAGTCCTGAGCCTCCACATTCTTCACATCTCCTTTGTGCAATCTGCAATCAACAACCCCAAAATCACACACACATACACACACACACATACATACATACATACATGCTAATGCTTTAAATTAGACTTACAATTCTTTTGCTGAACTCAATCCCTGCAACAACGAAAGGGGTAACCCCAGCTGTAGAGAAAACATAAACAACAATTGGATATCATGTTGAACTCCGAATCAAATATAAATTACATTGGTGCAGACATAATCTTATGTTAATTGTAACCTGCAGCTCCAACAACAATTTGCCATGTAATATCTACACGGCCAGGATCAGCTACGGCTGCAATATCCTGAATATTAGCAGCAACCTTGGTTGTGAGCCGCTGATTGTTTCCTGTCAAAGCTTTGCATCTTTGGGTACAGATGAATCTCGCCGTTGGATTTGAACACTTTGTGAAAGTGGGTTTTGATTGGGGTATGGGGACTGGGGATGTAATTGAAGGAGGAGCACAAAGAGAAACTTCCATGGTGTTGTAACTGAATTTTAACGCCTGTATTTTATTTTTCCTTAAAGGAGATAAAAGCAAGAAGGGATCGAAACGACTAGTTTTGGTTAGGCCACGTGGCCTCCTCCATTATTAAAATCTCGCCAAAGCTTTCTAGCCACATAAACGACACCCCTTTGATATGGATGCGCATGGTGGATTTTGTACCAATATTTTTTTTAACTAGTACGTTATGAATATGGTAAACTATAAAAATAGTCCCCAAATTTTTAGGTCTCTTACATTTTGGTCACTCAACTTTTAGGTCTCAAAGTCATTAATATGCCTCCTAAATTCACTGCCTGGATTGAAACTTGCTTCACTGAAGCTAGATATTCAATCTCTCTTAATGACTCTCTAGTTGGCTACTTCAAAGGTAAAAGAGGTTTAAGGCAAGGTGATCCTTTATCACTCATCTTGTTTGTTCTAGCAATGAATATACTTTCTAAACTCCTCAATACTGCTGCTGCCATAGGTCTTTTCGGGTACCATCCAAAATGTAAACAAATTGGTCTTACTCATTTAACCTTTGCAGATGATCTTCTTATCTTCTGTAAAGGAAATCTGGAATCAGTTATTGGAGTTACCACTATACTGAAGAAATTTTATGAAATTTCTGGGCTTCAATTAAATGTAGCCAAATATGATTTGTTTGCTGTTGGAATCTCTTCTGGAAATCTTGAATCTATCTTAATTTCTATTGGTTTCAAGCATGGTCTCCTTCCAGTCAGATATATTGGTGTTCCCCTTGTTACCAGGAAACTTAATGCTACTGACTGCTCTTCCTTTATTGAAAAAATCAGATCCAAAATTCACCTTTGGTCTGGGAAACATCTCAGCTATGCAGGAAGATTGGAGCTTGTTAAAACTGTTCTCCAAAGCTTTGCTAACTATTGGTGTAGACAATTTTTACTTCCCCAGGCTGTTATTAACAGAATTAATCAGCTTTGTTCTCGGTTTTTATAGAAAAGTACTGATGCAACAGCTTCAGGAGCCAGAGTAAGCTGGAATAACTTATACTGTCCTAAATCTGAAGGTGAGCAGGGATTAAAAGATCTTAAAACTTGGAATAAGGTCTACATGATACAACTTATTCGTTCTCTCCTCGCTGGTGAAGGATCGCTTTGGATTGCCTGGATTTACACTTACGTGATTAAATCCAAAGAATTCTTACAGATGTTGAATAAACCCTCTTATAGCTACTACTTTAACAGGCTTTTGAAACTAAGATCTGAGGCCATTCCAATTCTTAATTTAGGATTTTCTTCTTCTAAAAGCATTTGGGAAGAGTTACGTATCAAGCATGGAAAAATATTCTGGCACAAGATTGTATGGTATCCCCTTCATATTCCCAAATTTAGCATTATTACTTGGCTTGCAGTCTTGGATCGTCTTCCTACTAGAGAAAGACTTACTCGTACGGGAATTACAAACGTTGGCTCTTGCATCTTAAGCAATGATGGCATTGAAACGAGGAATCATTTGTTTACTGAATGTCCTATGGTTGCTACTCTTTGGAATAGAATTCTAAATCTTTTTCTTTTGGATAAGCCTCATATGTCTTGGGATTCTTTTCTTGCTTGGGCATCTTCGACTTGGAAAGGAAAATCTCTCCTTACAACCATATTGAAGATTGCCTGGTGCTCATTCATTTACTACGTTTGGGAAGAAAGAAATAGACGTTTATTCCAAGGACGTGTTAGAACCATTGATGATTTTCTCTTTTCAATCAAAGAAATTGTTAGTGCTCAACTTAGGAATAGAGATACTAATAGTCTTGATTTTGTTAATATGCAACTTATGACTAATTGGGGCATAGGATAATCTTTATTTTATTGTAATTAGCTTGTTTTTATCCTTGTTTGGACTCTTTGTATTGTGACCTTCTTTGGATAATAAAATTTACTTATCCAAAAAAAAACTTTTCGTTAGTTTTTATTTCTGTCCCTGCTGTTACATAGGTTAATTTTTTGCTGACGTGGCAGGTAACGCCGGTTACCCACCACCTCCTCCTCCTTTTTCTTCTTCTTCCACATTTGAAAACCCCTACTTCCAAAAAAATATATATATAAAACTCAAAAATCACGTCCGAAACACAAAGAAAAAGAATTCGAAGCAATATTTTCTTTTGCTAATATGCTTAGAATTGATATATTGTCCACACCAAGCCCGAAAAGACAATTAGGAGCTACAGCCCACTCGATTACTCTGCTTTAAGCTCTTGTTTGGAAGAATCATTTCATCATCACTGTCATATTAATATTAATGATTGATGATTGGTTAGAGGTGCTTTTTATCATGAGGTTATGCTTCGGCTGGTGGAAGAATCATTTCCTTCATCACTTTGGTAGTTGTCGGATTCGGATTGAAAATCGCCTAGCCTGTCCTCGGTTCCATCACCGTCGCACTCGATGCTCTGACTGGTTGAGATGCTATGCAATCTAGATGAGATGGAAAGAGGGGAGAGAGTGAGGGATGTTATTCTCTTCAGGTGGCAGCTGAAAGAAAGCTCAGTGCGTCACCACATCGCTCATCAGAGGACGAGCGGTGGCTTCCTCTTGTTAGCACATGGCTGCTATCACAATTGTTTAATTCAAACCTCTTTCTGGGAATTTCTTATTGAGTAGGGGATCTGCCATGTCCGGGAAGGTCTTCGGTTCCCTGAATAAGTGTTACGGAAGACGGCTATCGGATAGAGCAAAATCACAATTGATAATTTGAGAAAATAAAAATGAAGATAAAAGAGACACAAAATTTACGTGGAAAACCCCTAAATAATATAGGGTAAAAACCACGGGCAACGGTAGAAGAATTTCACTATGAGAAAATAGGAATTACAACTTCTCTTGATCTACCAAGGAGAAAACAATGATAATTCTCTCTTGATAAAAAAGGAGAAAATAACTCTCAAGAAACTCTCTAAATTCTCTAGTATTGAAAGAAAACTAGAATAATTTGGGATGGTTTTGAAGCTAAATGAGCTAGGGTATTTATAGTTGAAGATTAAGGACTAATTTTGTAAATACCCTAAAGTCTAATGATTAAATTTGGTAATTATACCTTACCAAATTCAACCAAAGTTGGCTGCCCACTTAAACTAAATTAGCAGCCAGCTGCTGCCACTTAAATTGACTATTATTTTCAACAATCTCCCACTTGAAGATTTGATTGGAACAATCATCTCTTCACACTATTCTTTCTACCTTGTACCATCATGTTGCTTACGTCTCTGATAGGCCACAGGAGGATCGACACCAGGTAAATTTTATTAGTGTTGATCGCATTCTTCATGAAATCTGCTATGTTGTCTTTGGTATGGATCTTCTGCATATCTACCATTCATTCTTCCACCTTTTCACGAATGAAATGGTATTGAACTCGTATGTGCTTTGTCCTTGAATGAAATGTTGGATTCCTTGCTAGACGCAAGGCGCTTTGACTATCACAAAACAGAGAGACATACTCTTGATTGTGCCTAAGCTCCTCCAATAGCATCTTCAACCAAATTGGTTCTTTACTAGCTTGTGTAGCTGCTACATATTCTGCCTCTGTTGTGGATGTAGCCACAACTGACTGTAATTTTGAAACCCAGCTTACAGCTCCACCAGTAACTTTGAACACATATCCTGTTGTAGATTTGCTTTTATCCAAATCCCCTGCATAGTTAGAATCTACATAACCATTGATTAGTAAGTTTGATCCTCCATAATATAATGCAAGATTTGAGGTCCCTTTGATGTATCTAAGGATCCTCTTTACTGTATTCCAATGCTCTTTGCCTGGATTCGCCATGTACCGACTAACCACTCACACTGCTTGTGCAATGTCTGGTCTTGTGCATATCATAGCGAACATTAAGCTTCCCACTACTGATGCATACGGTACTCGAGACATATCCATCCTCTCTTCTTCACTGCTAGGACTCATACTGGAGGATAATTTGAAGTTAATAGGAAGAGGGGTAGAAATTGGCTTACAATCTTGCATGTTGAATCGTGACAAGATCTTCTTCAAGTAATTCTTTTGTGAAAGCCAAATCTTCCTATTACTTCTGTCTCGGTGAATTTGCGTCCCTAGAATTTTGTTTGCTGATCCCAAGTCCTTCATTTCAAATTCCCTAGCCAGTTGTGCATTCAATTCTTCAATATGATCTTTGTTGGGTCCTGCAACCAACATGTCATCTACATACAACAACAATATAACAAAATCGTTATCACCAGACCTCTTGAAATAAGCACAAGGGTCTGCATTAAGTCTGTTATATCCAAGACACATAATGAAGGAATCAAATCTCTTATACCAACACCTCGGCGCCTGCTTTAGACCGTACAGAGATTTGTTCAACCTGCAAACCAAGTTCTTCTTTTCTTTTTCTTCAAAACCTTTAGGCTGAAGCATATAAATCTTTTCTTCAAGATTTCCATAAAGAAAAGTTGTTTTAACATCTAGTTGCTCTAGATGTAAGTTCAATATAGCACACATTGCCAAAACTACTCAAACTATTGTTAGTCGAACCACAGGAGAAAATATTTCATTGAAATCAATACCTTCTTTTTGAGCATATCATTTTACCACCAGTCTTGCACGATACCTCTCAACTTGATCGTCACTATTTCGCTTGATTTTAAAGACCCATTTGTTACCAATTGACTTCATTTCTTGTGGTAGTGGAACAAGGTCCCATGTATTATTTTTATGAAGTGCTTCAATTTCTTATTGCATCGCCATCATTCACAGTGAAGCATCTGAGCTGTTTATTGCCTCCTGGTATGTTAATGGTTCACCGTCCTCTGTTAAAAGGCAGTATGCAATATTACCTTCTATAACATAATCTGAGTGTCAATTGGGACGTCTTCTCACACGATCTGATTGATGAGTTATTGGAGCTTCAGAACTCTCTGGTTCTTGTTCATCATGTGCTGGTTCTGCTTCAGAAGAATCTCCTTGTTCAAGCTAATTTTCCACATGTATCTGTGTAGTCTATGACTTTTTAGCACTACCATTGTCTTCTTTTCTTTGTAGTTTATCTTCTACAAAGATAACATCCCTGCTGATGATCACTTTGCGGGCAGTGGGATCCCACAAGCGATACCCCTTTACACCATCAGCATACCCCAAGAATTTGCATTTCCTGGATTTTGGATTCATCTTTGAAATTTCTTGGGAGTTGTACATCACGTACACAATACTTCCAAATACATGGAGGCTTGAATAATCAGCTGGTTTACCAGTTCACATGTCCATTGGTGTCTTCAGCTCTATTGCAGTTGATGGAGCTCGATTCACCAAATAACAAGCGGTATTGACTGCTTCTGCCCAAAATGATTTTTCTAGGCATGCATCCCTCAACATTGATCTTGTTCTTTCTAACAAGGTTCTTTTCATCCGCTCTACCACTCCATTTTTTGAGGAGTTTTCGCCACTGTGAATTGTCTTTTGATGCATTCTTTCCTGCAAAAGTCATCAAATTCTTCACTTGTGTATTCTCCTCCATTATCTGTTCTGAAACACTTGATCTTATTTCCAGAATCAAGTTCCACCCGCGCTTTGAAGTTTTTGAAAGTTGAAAACACATATGACTTCTTCTTAATAGGATGCACCCAACATCTCCTGGAGTAGTCATCAATGAATGAGACAAAGTATTTTGCTCCGCCTAGGGATGTAACTGGTGCTTGCCATACGTCAGAGTGAACCAATTCTAGAACACCTTTGCCTCTAGAATTTGATGTGTTGAATTTCAACCGGTGCTGCTTACTTGTTCTACAATACTCACACAAGGTAAGTGATACCTTTGTTAAGCCTGGAAGTAGCTTTTGCTCCGCAATGACTTTTATTCCTTGTTCTGACATGTGTCCAAGTTTCTGATGCCATAGCATTGTAGAATCTGAACTACATGAGGCAACAGAGGCTTCTGCTTCTAGCAAAGTCTCTCCCTTCAGTATGTACAAGTTTGCTGCTATATTTTCGCCTTTCAGTACCACAAGCGCTCCACGGAACACCTTCATGATTCCTTTCCGTGTTTCAATCTTGCTTGCATTATTATCCAACAATTCAGAGGATAATAAATTTTTCTTCAGGCCTTTCACGTGTCGCGCATCTCGAACAACTTTAATTGTTCCATCATACATATTTAATTTGATGGTTCCCACGCCAATGATCTCCAAGGCATGATCATTGCAACTATAGACGGATCCTCCTGAGACAGGTTCATAATGATGAAACCATTCTCTTCTTGAGGTCATGTGATATGTTGCTCCTGAATCAATGAGCCATATATCTGCATATCTCTTTCTACCTTCCACGGTGGTTGACGCTTCACAACATAGAGCATATCCATCATCTTAAGTGTTTGCGGTATTGCCTTGTGGATTAGAGTTTTTATTCAGACTCCAACAATCCTTCTTTAAGTGACCATTCTTTCCACAGTTGTAGCACTTTAAATTCTTCTTTGCTTCTCGACTTTGATCTATCATGTTTGTGACTGCTACTTTGGCCACGTTCTATTGATCTCCCTCTCATTGTTGTCAACACTTCTGCTTGTTGCAGATTTACTTGTCTGTCTTCCTTGTTCTTGCGCCTATTTTCTTCTTGTAGAACAGCAGCTACAACGTCATCGAAGACTAGACTTGTGACATTACTGTTTGTCAAGTTGATGATGAGTTGATCATACGAATCAGGTAGACTTTGAAGTAGAAGTTCAGCACGTTCTTGTTCTCCTATTTTACAACTTAAGGATGTAAGCTGAGAAAATAAAGTGTTCAGTGTATTTAAGTGCTCCGTCACTGAAATAGATTCTGGCATACGGAGAGTGTACAATTTTCTCT